TAGTAGCAGCTAAGTACATAGTTGACTGAAACTGAAATATCCAAGCTTAATTGAATTTGACACTGTTTTATACGAGTATTTATTACTATTTTATGTCATATAAAAGGGTTGCAATATTATGATCATCTTTTTTTTTTCCATTTCCATGCAGGCAAAGAGGGAGAATACACAGTCGTGCTTCCCCTGCAGTGGTTCTGGCGCGCGTATGTGATAGATTATGCTCTTTAGATTGCCTTAGCTCCTTTATTCCAATTTGCATTTCTAACATGTCTGAGTGAAAAAATTGTTGGGACACTTTAGATTGCGCAGGTTGTGTAATTAAACATTGTTGGCACAACCACGTGGCTGAGTGAAACACACAAAATCTGGTCACGGGGATTGCCTTGTTAAAATGAAAATATTATGGTTACATCCAGGCTCTCCTTTTAATCAAAGATGCATCTTAGTTATTCTCCCTATGCACTAGTATTTTATTTGGTTGACCTTTTAATATTTTACAAAATAGTAGGAAGAAGCTAGGCCGAAAAATTATTTGTCATCTGCAGGGTGGGAAAATCGGAACCAAAGTTTTAGTAATGTTTATTGCTGCAAACTTTCATCTTTCTCAAATACACATTGTGTCCCTGTACCTCTACCTTTCATGACCATATCTATACTTAAATATGATGGCGTTAAGGAAGAAAAACATATATATCTTGTTCACTTACTCTGCACCAATTAAGTTGGTACTCTGGTAGCAAAGCTGTTATTGAGCATCCCGGGAAATGACAAACATTCACCAATTTGAAACTCCAATATCAATGAGAAACTTGAACCAAAAGGACTTAGTTCCCTTTATGAGCGTCAGTGAATTAGACAACTAGTCATGATGGAAATAGATAATGGACTTGGCAAGTTGGCATGGTAGTATGTTGCACACAATGCATACATTACTACCTTTTAACTATGCATCTTCTCTTTTCCTTTACAAAACAGTATCCAAAGGTTCTGAATATTAAATGGAATTTGTTCATTTTCCAGAGGTATGCAGGTTTTGCACTGGAAAGGGCATTGTTACTGTAGTACTTGGTGCAGGCGAGACTGAAGAATCACAGTGCGTCAACTGCGAGGGCATCGGCTCTTTGACATGCACTACATGCCAAGGCACTGGAATCCAACCACGCTATCTTGACCGCAGGTAATAATATGCTTTTATCTAAAACTTCTGCATGTAAGCACCCGGCCACCCGTGTTCCCCTTTTATCACTGCTAGCCTTATATACATTAACAACTTCAGAGAAATATATTATTGAATTTCCAAAATAGAACTAGGGAAATATTCAGTGCAAACACTCTACTTGGTGGAATCGTGAAAACCCTTTAGAAAACATACTTAGGAGTTTTCAAAAAAATTGAAACTATGCACATCCATCGTGCATAGATGTAGATTGTCGCGAAATTTGATATTCGTACATGAGGCCCTCTGTGGAGAGGCTAATTTGCTTAACACAACACAGATGGTCCATATTGTTGAAGTGAATGATTTAGAAACCTGTCATGTAGGGGACTTTTCCCTGTGATGCTTCTCCATGAGAAGAGAAGGGAACTATATGTTGTCCTTCATAAGTTCATTTCATCAATGTTTTGCCTGAACGACGTTCCAAATAAATGTAAACATGATAAAAATTGGTCAGAAGGAGATATCTAATAGTTAATTTGCTTTGGATTGGCTAATCAGGGAGTTCAAGGATGACGACTGATGAAGGCTTTATTACCATCTTTGGTAGTATGTCAAAGATGTAACATCACCGTCTAATTTGAGGATTTGAGGACAGCATTGCGTACACAGAAGAGATGTACCTATCAGCCATAGGATCCATCTGATTGTTTTGTGTTGTATTATATATATGTTCCAGTTTGGTAAATATAGATGACATATGCCCTCCAGCAGTGAAGATAATGTCTCAAATTTAAGTGCTCAACGTGTTGTTCTTCTGATTTTGTCATGCAAATTTGCAAGAGTGAACAAAAAGACTCCCTCCAAATAGAGGGCGCACTAAGCATCAAGCATTGGGTGCATACATTGCTCCGTGGCTCTGTATTTTGAGATGGAGGGAGATACAAGTGCAGCCAAACAAGGCCTAAGATGTGATTTCCACCGGGAATGACAGATGGTCATTATCAAATATAATGGTCCAACTGGCAGTAATGGCTAGCTCTGAAAATGCAGCTTCCAAACTGGTTTCTTGCTTCAATGATCATATCCAGCTGTTGGAGTGACAAGTTCTAGACAATGAGCAGAGGGGTCCAACAAGACTGACTTAAGGGTGACATTCAAAGAAAAGATTGTTTCCTCAACTCCTAAATTGCACAGAACACGATTATAGTCATCGAGAGATTTGTTCTTTCTCTTGAGCAAGTTTCTGGTACGTAGTATGTCCCTAAAGCCAAAATAAGAATTTATGTTTGCCAACGACGGTCGAACTCTAAAGCCATTTGAAAATAGGTGAAACTGGCAAGGTTCCCAACAACTGTGAATATGTTTTTTTTTAGCCGAAGGGGTGAATCGCAAATGTATTTCCTGCTGTCATCAGAACAGGGTCCCAGGCTTTGCCTTGGAGAGGTGTTTGGAACTGTAATAGTTGATCAGAAGCTTGTGGAGACAGTGACAAGAAGAAGTTCCTGTTCAAATGATTTCTAGAAAAAAATCTCACTGAGCAGTTTGGCTTTTTGGCAAAAGAGAACAACTAAGGGAAGCTAAAGTGCAGGTCCAGTGCTCCTAAGGTCTTTTCAAAACAGCAAGGAGTTCCTTTGCCTGGAGTGCAGCAAGCTTACATTCTATCAGCTAGGCTGAGGATGTTCCTCCACCAGAAGGAGCCAGCTGGGCTTGTAGCATGTGGAGTAGTAGCATTCGATTTGTATAGACATTTTCAAGTGAGTTCACCCAAGGAAAGTCTGCATGATTGCAAAATTTGTCGAGCAATTTGAGCAGGACATTATTCTGGGTTTTTAAGTTTGATAATGCTAAGTCCATCTTGCTCTTTGGTCTGCATGCCACCTCCCAGGCAACAACAGTGCATGAGCCCTTTCTATTTTTATTATTTTTTTTACGCGAACTGCAGAGGGGAGAGCTTCCCGCATGGATATAATGATTTATCATCAACGGCCTCGTTTTCAGGGAACGAGGCAAAAACTCTGGTTGTCCAGTTAATTTTGAAAAATCGGACTAAAACCAATACAACAGCCCTAGCATAAGAACTAGATTGTGGCGTGTCTACGAATACAACAACAAAAAAAGAGAAAAAATTACAACACCAAAGCACAAGAACTCTTCGACGATGCCTCCAAGGAGGTGGATGACGCCATAACGTAATCATCGTCAACCAAGCAACAAGAGACGACGCCGCAGAAGCTTGGTAAGGCTTTCGCCCAAGCCTTATGCCGAGGGGTTGAACGAGTCGACCATGAAGAAGCAGCGCAGAGAAGGTTCTTCATCGACGCCTTCAAGAAGGAGATCCTCGTCGCTGGCCCAGACTAATTAGCAGCACACAAAAGGTTCTTCAGTGACGCCTTCAAGAAGGAGATCCTCGTCGCTGGCCCAAATTAATTTGAGCTGAACTTTTGCTCAGAACCTATGCCAATGCTCCATTTGTACCCGCGTCTGGGGGAGGTGCGTGCACCGGCGAGCGTCCGCGTCTGGACGGAGTGGTGTGCCAATCGTCGCCACATCGTGCGGAGCCGTTACCGGACTCGCCCGCGACAGTGGGAGGCGTGCACCGGCAAGCATCCTCGCCTGGACGGAGGAGTGTCGCCTGCGCCTAGACGGGGGGCAGGGTGCCGGTCGCCGCCACACTTCACAGAGCCATACGGACTACCAGTCACCGCCACACCTCGCGGAGCTGTTAACGGACTTGCATGCAACGATGGGAGGCGTGCACCGATATTGCTAGTCGCCGCCGCACCTTAGACTCGCCCGCGACGATGGGAGGCGCGCACCGGCAGTGCCAGTCGCCGCCACACCCTGCGGAGCCGTTCGGACTCACCCGCGACGGCAGTGCCAATCGCCGCCACATGTCGTGGAGCCATTCGGACTCGCCCGCCACGATTGGAGGCGCGCACCGGCACTGCCAGTCGCCGCCACACCTGGCGGAGCCGTTAACGGACTCGCCCGCGACGATGGGAGACGCGCACTCATACGCCCTAGTGCCGGTGCGCGCCGCCGCAGCCACACGCAGCCCGGGACGCGCTCCCACCAGCCACCGCTGCTGTAAGTCACAACGCCCGTGGACCGACGAAGCCCTCAAGTCAGTACGTCGCCGCGCCGAAACTCACACCCCCACGCGGATCCGCCTGCGACAACACGCTGACAGGAGGTGCAGCATCAAATTACCGGGTCGACGCCGCAGAAGCTGGCCGCCGCAGCCACCAGTCGGCAGCCAGGCCGCCATTCGCTGCCACGCCCGGCACCACAGTCACCTCGACGCGGCGGCCGCCCGCCAACGCCAGCACCACGTCCCCGGCCACCGGCAGGCAGGGCAGGCTGGCCGTGCCAAGGCCACCTTGCTCCTTTGATCTGCTTGGTTTTGTGAATTGTGATCCTCACACTCACTAGCTTAATAACCAAGATTGCCACAAACAAAGCGGGTTTCCTTATCTTATTCTTCTCATCTTGAAGTAGGTTGTTTGGTTGAATTTATAAGTCTTGTTCTTTTTCCTACTTGTACTTGTAGGACTGTGATCTTCTCATGTTGTTATGCACTGCATTCAGTGATGGTACTTGAATTCTCCTCGTTTCCTTTTAAGCATTGGGGATAGGATGAGTAATCTGACTCATCTGTTGAAGCAACCACAAACTTCTGTATTATGGGGAATGGAATAGTAAATTGTCAGAGATGCTCGTACTAGCCTGCTACACCAACGAGTTACAACATCTCCATGAACAAGAGCAAACGACGCAAGAAAACGACAGAAATGACACGAAGACTAGAAGCCCACTACAGCTACATCCGGTTCCGACAGCATCACTCCGCCGCGTCACTCTTCGTGCAGACGCTACGCTCGGCGTAGAGCTGGTACGGCGGCGCGTCGCTGGCGAGCCACTGCTCGACACCGAACCCAGCCTTGGTGCACGTGGCGTGGCGCCCCGTGGCGGTGACCTCCACGGACTTGCAGTACCAGCCGTGGTGCGGGCCGTAGCCGTCGGAGGTGAGGTTCATCCGGCACGGCGGCGACGGCAGGCAGGGCGCCCGGGCGCTGAAGATGTCCACGTTGCCGCGCTCGTAGTAGTCGTAGCCGGCGCCCATGAGCCCGCCCCACCGGGGCAGGTCTAGGATGGTGAAGCCGGCGCCGTCGGCGGCGCCGAGAGCCAGGCTGATCACGGCGTCCGTCCCGGCCTTCCAGATCGACCCGGTCCCACGTAGATCGTGTACACGCACCTGTAGTCGTAGCTCCCGGCCGCGTCGTCAGAGCTCTGCAGCGGCACCACTACCTGGTCGGCCGGCGACGGTGGTCTTGATCCGGCGGCCTACGCGCGGAACGGCGGGCAAAATGGATGCCGATGAAAAAAGACGGCCAAGCATGACATTATCAGGGCAATGTATCAGGACAATGCAAGAGAGTGAGACGTACCAAGATCACGAAGGAAAGGAGGACGGCGAAGGAGAGTGCATTGACGGCCATGCTGAACAACTCAAGATCCAAGAGTTGGAGAGGCTGTAGCTAATGAGGGTGATATTTGTAGTTAGAAGAGCTTGAAAAGGCATTAGAGTGTACATGTAGTATTTTGCTGAAAAATATTACTAAGTGGCAGGCATGATGTCGGGAAAGTCATCAAGTTTGGATCGGATCAGAACCGAAGCAGGTGACCGTCGATCATGTGGTGCACCGTGCACACGGAGAACGTGGATCTATGCCACTATGCCAGACTAGGCAACGGGCGCCCATGCTTAGCTTAATCAAGTGCTTATTGGACAACTTAAATATGCATTGGCCTCTCTGAGCAAGTACATGAAGCACAAGTGCACGGGGTAAGTTAAAGAGTCTAGAGTCAGCCATGTGATGCTCACACTAAGGACTCGTTCGGTTCCCTCGGAACGGTTCTCTCGAACAATTTCCAGTTAGAATGGTTAGCTAATTTTTTTAAGCTTGATCAAGCCAGAATGAAGCCCTAAAATAGATCGGAGTTTGGAGTTTGCTCTATGCCCTCTACAGTTTCGAGTTCTATGCTCAGACCGTTGTGGATGACAAAGTACTTGATGTAGATTCAACTACAGTAACACTACGAATGATATTGAATCAAAATTGAGCAAAGAGCAAAAAATGTAAATCAAGCTAGAAGGTATGCTTTAGAAGTATATATTATACCGTACCATGCTGAATTAGGAAGAATGGTTAATCTGACGGTGGAAAACCACCAGTCAAGCAGTTTCGGTCGTGAAAACAAGAAGTCAAACTGGAGCATTCGTGGACGTTTTTGCATCTTTCCGAACAGGGCGAAAAAAACAATACCGCTATACAAGGCCGGCAATTCGCTAATGATTCATGACGAGGACAATTCGCTAATTCAGCCCCCCAAAGAAAACTGAAATAGCGAGGAAGGGACGGGCTCGGCCTCTCCGCCCGATTCCGCCTCCGCCTCCGAGATCCCGTCAGCCATGGACGGGCTCCTGTCGAAGCTCCGTAGCCTGGACGCGTACCCCAAGGTGAACGAGGACTTCTACAGCCGCACCCTCTCCGGCGGCATCATCACGCTCGCCTCCTCCGTTGTCATGCTCCTCCTCTTCGTCTCCGAGCTCCGTACGCGTCTCGCTTTTTCCTTGTTCCCCCCACCCGCCCCCCCCGATCAAGGTCCCTGTACCCGTTTCTGAGATCGGCTGGTTAGCTTTGACCGCGTGGGTGGTGCTAGATGGATGCTGGTATAATGACCCCCTGTCGCATTACGATTCTTGCGTTCTCCCCAGAATGCGTCGAGATCTGGTGTTGTGGTTACGGGATTGGCGGAGCGGATGGAATTGATCACGAGTAATTGGGTTGGCGAGAGTGGAATTGAGTGCCCATTTCTGCCGTACAAGATGTTATTTTTACTGTGCTTTGTACTATCAGGATTCAACTCAGTAGCTAAGAAGCTCTGAAGATTATGCCGTTAACTTTCGTTCTCTTTTGGTTAGTGAATAAGGCGTTGACCTGACATGTTATATAAGCTTGTAGAGAAATAACAGCTACAAATGGCAATTTTGCATACATAATTATTGGTTCCATACAAAATTTGAGATAAAAGGCTGTTTCTCTGTCTTTGGTTGCTTTGTTGTCGAATGTAAGGGCCATTTTCATCAAAAATTCAGAAGCAGATTTACTCACTGTGATGGAAAACTTAAGATTTATTAAGTTTACCTAGTACCACATGTTTTGTTGAAGTAGATGAGGAACTCTTTTGCTCTCATTGTTTTAGATATCAGTTTTTTAGTGTGTGGATATTCGAAACTTTGGGTTTGCTTTCTTTCGGTTTTCTTTACTGGATGAACAGTCCACCAGCAAGAAGGTTAACCAGAGAAATCGTTCTACCTATCTACTACTATATATCTTTTGCTATTCATGATTGTTAGAATTCAATTTGAGTGTATTCATCAGATCGGGATACTTAGCATAGTAGTAATAGATGTTCGGGATCACATAGAGACAGAGAGGAAGGGGTGATAGGTTGCAAACCGTCAAATGCCAGACATTCCGTCAGTTTCGGACGCCATCTGCAGGACAATGCAATGACGGTCGAGTGGAGAGGAGTCGGCGTTATGACGTCCTCAAGATCACGTCGGTGGTGCTTCCTGTCATTGGCGAAGGATCGGGTCTAGGGATAGGATATCGGTGGGGTGATCGGCGCTGGTGAACCTCATACTTGAGCCCCGAGTTGATAGCGCTATGCGACGAGGCCCACCAACCATGTAGGGTTGGCGCGCCCGTCGTATGAGAGACAAGGCCCGATTAGGCCGTTGGGCTCTAGCGGTGGGAGATCAATCCTAACATTCTCCCCTTGATCTCTCATCTATTCTTCGTTCTTTAATTTCATACTCAAAACTTTCAATTCATATTTTTCTTGCTTCCATCCTATTTCATCACAAATTAGTGCATAGAATCTCCCATCGTCACAAAGAATTAGTGCCGTTAGACTAACATACAATACACTTCTCCGCTTTTGAAATGTAAACTTTCTTTGGGCCCTTCATGATGTTCGGGAATCATAGGCTTCCCTTAAACCCATGCAACGTGTTCTCTCGAACACGTTGGGTGGTAAGCCCTTTGTGAGCGGATCCGCAAGCATTTTCTCTCCACTTTATATGCTCAAGATTTATTATATGATCCCGAACTTTATCTTTCACAACATAGTACTTTATGTCAATGTGTTTGGCGGCACCACTTGACCTATTGTTGTGAGTATCTTTATCTTCTTTGGGTTGTTATCACAATACAACCTCGGTGGTTCATTTATATTATCAATCACTTTCAATCCGGGTATGAATTTCTTCACCAATTCACCTCCTGCCGGTGCCTCATAGCATGCTACAAACTCGGTATACATTGTCGAGGATGTAGTTACGGTTTGTTTGGAGCTTTTCCACAATATAGCCCCTCCTGCGAGAGTAAATACATATCTGGACGTGGATTTTCTTTCATCATCTCCGCATAATCGAATCTGAATACCCCTCTATCTGCAGGGAATCGGATCTTCTATACGTAAGCATGAGGCCTTTCGTACCACGCAAATAACGCAGGACTTTCTTCACTAATTTCCAATGTTCAATTCTGGATTCTTTTGATATCCGCTAAGTAACCTTAGAAAAGCTAAGTCGTATGCAGTACACACTTGAGCATATTGTAAACTTCCAATTTAATTTTCCATACGGTGCAATTTCATTCGGTCAATTTCATATTGGTTCTTGGGACATTGATGTTCCCCAAATCTATCGCCCTTGACTATAGGAGCGGTGAAGGATTGACATGCATACTACTAAATTTCTTCAGACCTTTTCTATGTATGCCTTTTGTGATAATCCTAGAACCCCTTTTCTCTGTGCTTGAATCTCTATTCCCAAAACGAACGAGGCCTCACCGAGATCTTTCATATCAAAGTTTGAGGACAAGAATTTCTTCGTTTCCATTAGCGATTGATATCACTACTAGCAAGCAAGATATCATCCACATACAAAATTAGAATATGTACTTTCCATTCCCGAACTTTGCATAAACGCAATTGTCCTCAACATTTTCTTCAAACCCAAAACCTTTTATCGTTTATCAAACTTCAAATACCACTAAGCTTGCTTCAATCCGTAGATTGATTTCTTGAATCCCATATTTTCCTTTCCTTTTACGACAAAACCTTTCGGTTGTGCCATATAAACATTTTCTTCTAAATCCCCGTTTAGGAAAGCCGTCTTTACATCCATTTGATGTAGCTCCAAATCATAGTGGGCTACAAGTGCCATTATAATTACGAAGGAATCTTTACATGAGACCCGAGAAAATGTCTCATTGTAATCAATCCCTTCTCTTTGCGAAGCCTTTACGCCACAAGTCGCGCTTTAAATCTTTCTATATTCCCTTGGGAGTCATATTTCGTTTTGTAGACCCATTTACTGACCCTCTTGTTTTGGCTCCTCTAGGAATATTTTCTAAGTCCCAAACTTTATTGGTACTCATTGATTTTAATTCATCTTCCATGGCCTTAAGCCACTTTGATGAGTGGTCGCTTCTTATGGCTTCTTCAAATGAGGTGGGATCATTCCCCATCCGACATTCTTCGCTAGTCATCGATAATAGGACGATCTTATTCTTTGAGACCTTCTAGGTGCCTTCGGCACTTGTTCCACATTTGACTGTTGTTGTTCTTCCTCATGTGCAACATTTGGTTCTATAGGTTCCTCAAGAATAGGTTCCTCAAGGGACGATTTCCTCATGTTCATTCATTGTCGCCACGGAGAACTTGCAATGTCAGGCACTCTGGACGGTCCTGTCGCAGCTCCGTGGCCTGGACGCGTACCCCAAGGTGAACGAAGAATGGTTCTTCAACCATGGGAGTGGGTACATGCACCGCTTCTCCCTGTAGAGGGATTTCTCGTGCTACCATGCTCCCCTTGATCATGTTATCCTCCAAGAACACAAAGGTGTCTTGTTTCTACAATCTTCGTCATGTCTCCAATAGAAAGCGATATCCTTCGATCTTTCCGATAGCCAATAAAATAGCACGCGTCTTGGAGTCTAACTTTCCTATGTTTGGGTTAAACACTTTTGCCTCACCCCCCACACACGCAAATGGTTAAGTGAGGTTTCCTTCCTGTCCATAATTCATACTGTTTTAGGCATCGGTTTGACTCGATTAAGTATGTGAATGGCGGTTTTCAAAGGCTCATCCATAAACTAATGGAATGTGGGTAACTCATCATGCTTCTTACCATATCCATTAAGCTACTGATTCGCCTTTCACCCACTCCATTCTCACCGAGGCTCCCCAGGTGTGAGTCGAGCAACTATGCCATTTTCCCAGGGAACCTTTGCAAATGGTCCAGAATTTGGCCATATGGGGTATGTATGCCCATAGTACTCTCCACCTCGGTCGATCGATTATCTTGATTTTCTTATTGTGCTGATTTTCAACTTCACTTTAAATATTTTGAATTTATCCAATG